AAAAAAAATAAAAAAAAAAAGTTGCATAGAAAAGTTTTTTTCCAAAAACCAAAAAAAAAAAAAAAAAAGGAAAAACAAATTGTTTCCTAAAAAATTATTATTTTTTTATCAAAATTTAGTGTTCGTTTGACTTAGTTTTACATGGAAATTATCCATTAAAGTGAAAAAATTTTTTACCATTGGTTATAACATTTGTTTCTATTGTAAAAAAAAAAAAAAAAGATTTCTTTTTCCAGCCAGCCTAGAAATTTTTTACCACTTTTCCTAGTTCCCTGGAAAATTTGGCATATCAAACAGGGCCTAAGTTGACTAATAATTTCGGGAATATATAACATATGTTATTCTCAAATCTCGAAAACATAATGAGTCAATTAACGGAAGAATCACATCACTAAGTGTATATTTGACACGCTGTATTAAATCGAATAAGAATTAAAAATTTAGTTTTTATCTAATGTTTGGTGCAATTAGTAATCGGATTAAATTAATTCCGGGCACTTATCCTCATTTAGTCAACAATATAAATAAATAATTAATACCTTATATGAGGTGGGGTTATACTGTATAATTTATTCTCCATATTATAAATTAATAAAAAAATTAATTGAATTGGAATACACGAATCTACTCACAAGTAAATAAGAACTAAATTTCACTTACAAGTAAAAAAATAACTTATAATAAAAAATTGCTTATATTCAAAAAATTAGTTATATGTAAAAAAATTAAAAGAAATTAAATTTTAAGTAAAAACGCAACCTATGTTTGGTTGGTGTTTATAAACTATTTAAAAATACTCAAATCGTTTTTTATCTGCGTATTTTGAGAGACCTACTTTCGCACTCATTTATATCAATATATAATTTAACTATTTATAAATCCTTCCCAAACATAAATTAATTTTTTTATTTATAATTCAGAATTTACATATAAGTAAAAAGAATTACTTAAGCGTAAAAGTTCACTTCTAAGTAAAAAATTTCTTATGAGTTAAAAAAATAAGTAAAAAATCACTTGCAACTAAAATAAAGCGACATACTGAAAAAGTCACTTATAAGAAAAATACACTAGTAACTAAAAATTTACTTATAAGTAATAAAATCATTAAGGGTCCGTTTGATTACAAGAATAGAATTTGGGTGGAAAGAAAATGAATTTTATGGAATTGACTTGTGTAGTACTTGTTTTATTGATAGTTGTCAATTAATTGTGTTCGATTGATATAATTTTCCCCCTGAAAAATATTGAAATTTTGGATCTTTTGGTGTTCGTTTGATTTTATTTTCCATGAAAATTGTCCATTAAAGAGATATAATTTGTTACAATTGCAAAAATAAATAAATAAAAAAGCTGCATAGAAAACCAATTCTCACCAAAGTGGTGGGAATTGATTTACTCAAAAAGCAAGAAAATGTGGCAAATCAAGAAAATGTGGAAAATCAATTACCTGAAAAATATTTCCAATCAAATGCTCTAAAAAGTGGAAAATGACAAAAAGTTTTCCATCTTCCATGGAAAACTTGTCCTATCAAACATGACCTAATTATTAAATTTACGTATATGTAAGAAAGAATATTTATAAATAAAAAATATTGTAATAAATGTTATTTTCAATAGCTTGTATGTTTTTCTAATATGGTGTAACACCAAATTCGTATTAGAATAATATATTCTAATCCACCTTAATTGTTTCCTTTGTAATCCCAATCCTCTTAATCTTATCCTCTAGTCTTATAGACGTTCCCTAAATGTTTTTGAGTGATATGTGTAGACCACCAACACCTTCTAAGTAATCGTTGCATCTATTTGATAACACAATGACCCACTAAATGGAATGAAGCACAAAATCTCATAAATATTAATAGACCTACGACTAGGTCAAGTATAGACACTCCACTTGACAATGTAGTCGAGGCTAACTCGTGTGCCATGTTTAGAACTAAGAGATGAGGAGTACTACTATTTGCACTAGTC